CGACGGTTAGACTAAATAAGTGCAAGTGGTAATGATCGCTTAACGGACAGCTTATCTCGTAAGCTCTAATTGAGAGTAGTAGTACAGACTTGGAAGATCTTGAGCATTTGTATAATAGAGGAGTTACATAAAGGGATACAAACTGATAAAAGGTGGTGTAAACCCACGATAAGTCCCTGTGACCTGTATAAATCTGTTGGATATTGTCTTGAATAAGAATCCGCTTGGCAAGTTCTGAGTAGAGAAGTAGCACTACTTTTGATGGCTCTGGAAAGTTTAAGAAGAAAACCAATAAGCTGTAGATCCGGACAAGAACCGGGTGTTTTGTGAGCACTATACTAACCAGGCTGTCAGAATTGACTAGAGGAAAAGGGCACAGGCCAGTATCTGGATTAAGCTAGTAGGAAAGCGGATAACATAACTTGTGGACCAAACTGAGCTATCTGGATTGGCAGTTTGGTGAAACAGTGGAAGGGTTTCTGATTGGATGAGTTAGGGCTGGAGTAGAGTGAACTCTATAAGAGCAGAAGTAGGTAACGGTAGCAGCTTTGGCTTGCAAGTACTTGTTCTCAAACTCGGCTTAAGTTACCGAAGCCTAGATCAGCCTAAATGTGGGTATAGAAGGCTCTAGCAAATTTACTTCAAGGACAAAGGACCCCTATAGGTGGGTCTGTCTTAAAGTCCTAAGTCAGAGATTTGAAAATAAGGGGTACTAATGTATTCTCGCTCAGTTAGAAGATTAATGTATATAGGCGCAGAGGGTTTAAATGCGTAACTTGGTAGGGTTATAGGTATGACAGCTAGTGTAGGACTTAGTAATAGGGGTCTACTTAAATAGACAACCAAAAGTTGCAAATGTGGCTAGTTGTATTCTCCAAATATATATATAGTATGGTATATATCATATTGTAAAAGTTAATAATAATCGAATAAAAGGACAGCAACCAAGAAGTCACCTTAAAACCAAAAAAAAAAAAGATAAAATGAATATAAATAAAAAAATAAAAATTTAGATGAATGCAAAAAACAACTTTCTTTTATTAATATGGTTGAAATAGAAACTTCAAATAATATAATTAGTGCAGGTTGCTATAATTTATAATATAATTTAAAACTTTTTTTTTAGAAAAATCTAACAAATTTTTTTAAAATCTAAGGTTTTAATAGTGTGATATTTGCTACTAAAAATAATAACAATTTTCAAGGAATAATTTATCAATGTGAAAAGCATAATGCTTATACTTCTCGTAATATTGAACAGACAGTCAAGACAAATAATATAAGAATAATTAATTTAACTTCAATTAATCTAAATAAAGCAAGTCATATTGTTTTATTACTTACTAAAAATGCAAATGCTGAAATACGATTTATAAAATAAC